CTGTTTTAAGAGAATATAGTGACCTTTGTCTCTTATAATAGTTGTTGGCTTAAAGTCTATTTTATCTGAAATAAGTATTGCCAATCCTGCTCTCTTTTGGTTCCTACTGACATGGATTACCTTTTTCCATTCCTTCACTTTCAGCCTATGTGTGTCCTTAGATACAAAATGAGGTTCTCATAAGCAGCATTTGGTTGATTCTTTTTAAAAAAAAAATCCATTCAGCTACATTATGTATTTTGACTGGAGAGTTTAATCCATTTAGCATTGTAAGTAATTATTGATACCTAAAAAGTTACCATTGCTATCACATTCATTGTTTTCTCTTTGATTGTCTTTGTTTTGTTCATATTTCCCTCTCCTGTGGTTTTTCATTGTGATTTATTGATTTTTTTTTTTAGTAATTTGCTTTGATTCCTTTTTCTGTTTAAAAAATCTTCTATAGGTATTTTCTTTGAGGTTACTGTGAAGCTTATAAAAAGAATATTATAGGTATAACAGTGTATTTGAACCTCATAACTTAATTTCAATTGCATTCTAAGCTCTTCACTTTTCCTTCTGCCTCCTCACACTTTATACCTCTTGTTACACTGTATATCCCTTACCTTTTTGTATTTATACTTAATTTTAATATTTTTGACTTTTAAACTTTATACTAGCATTAAAAGTGACTTACACATGCCCATTAAAGTATTACAATATTCTATATTTGTGTATGTATTTACCTTTACCCATGACTTTCATAATTTCAAATGCTTTTATTTTGCTGTTTTGCATCTTTTTGTTTCTATATGTATAATTCTTTTTAGCATTGTTTGTAAGATAGATTGAGTGGGAATGAAGTCTCTCAGCTTTTGTTTCTCTAGGAAAGTCTTATCTTTTTGCTGCTTCATAAGGGTTTTAAACTTTATTCTAAGAACAATTATAAGGAACTGAATGGTTTGAATCAGGGGCTTCAAAGAGCTGTCCTCCTACATATTGGTATTAATCCTTTTTGTTTTTAAGTTGGCAGTTAATCTCATATAGTTTCTCACCCTCAACCACATGGCCATTAACATGTGTCTACTCTTTCATCACATGACTGTTGAAATTATATGTATACAACAGTCAAATTGGTTTTACATATTGTTACTAATTTTCTTATAATTTCTTAAAAGCAGAATTGTTGAATCATTTCCTTCACTTTTAGGGATAGTTTTTATTGGTGTGGTATCTTTGGTTGGCTGTATTTTCTTTCAGCATTTGGAATATATCATCCCACTCTCTTCTGGTCTGCAAGGTTTCTGCTGAAACATCTACTGATAGTCTTATGGGGACATCCTTGTATGATGCAAGTTGCTTTTCAACTGGTGGTTTCAAAATTCTCTTTGTTTTTGATTTTTACAGTTTGATTATAATGTGTCTCAGTGTAGGTTACCTTCAGTTCATCCTAATAGGCCTCTTTGGGCTTCATGAAACTGAATGTCCGCTTACCTCCCCAGATTCAGGACAATAACAGCCATTATGTCTTTAATGAAATTTCTACCCAGAGTATTCTCAGAGTAATGGGCCTACACATTCTTGTTCAGTGGTGTGTAGACCACCAACAAACACCTGAAGCTACGGATCAGCTCCTGGCATGATAACCTTGTCAGTGTTCCTGCTCTCCATGGATCTCCTCACACAATCAGTGCTGGGCACAGGATGCATTTACCACCAGTGTCCCTTGAGCTGAGGCAGTGCTCCAGACCTCTGACTCAAGAACACTTCATCCAGTCTGGATTAAGATTCTCAGATCCATCCATGACCATGACAGGACAGTTTAATCCCAATGGAGAATTCCCAATGGGACATGTGTTAACCTAACAATGTACAGAGGTAATCTACTCCATAAGCCTATACACTGAGCATTGTTGTGTATGTTCAATTTTTACTCCTTTGAGTCTTGAGTAAAGTGAGCTTTTCTCTGGGAAAGTCAAAAGTCACCAGTGATGACCTCACTAATCAAACTGACATCCTCTGTTTTCCCCACCTCAGTCACCTTGGAGTTGTTTGCAACCCATCCCCTCAGACAGCCAACACTCCACTGGTCCATGTGAATTTCCCAGTGGTCTTCAGGCATGCGCGGGGATGGGAAGCTTATGCCTCTAACCCTTTCCCTACCTTCTCATCACCCTCCAGCTACTTTGAACCCTTTTTCTGGAACGTTCATTCCCTGGACTGTTTTGGGAGCTTTCAACTACATTGCCTTACCTAGTGGTAAGGTCCATTTTCAACTGCATAGTTCTGACATATTTGGCTACGGGAAGTTCCTCTGAGCAAACCTCCTGTTTTTGGACCTTCAGCTGCCAGCCACTTGGCACAGGGATCCTGGAGATGCTGCTTCCCTTTGTGCCTGTCTCTGATATTTCTCTCAACACTCCAGTCTGCCTGACAGTCTGGCAGTTGCTGGCACTGTCAAAACAATCCACCATCATTCACCTCAACTCTACATAGTAATGCAGGCACAAGCCCCTCTGACAGACACTCTCCACCTTTATCACCAGACAAGTGGTGCACTCAGGAAACACATGACCATGTAAACAGGTGCCTTCACTCCCCTGGGGGAGCTCACTGATGTCCCAAGGCTGACAGATGCCAAAGTGGTCGAAGTGCTGATATTGAGTAGGGGTCAGGGCATTCATGGGCTTGCCAGATGTAGAGGTTTACATTTCATTCTGCCCTCTTGGAAAGGTCCCTTCTTGGAGCTGCCATTACTCAGAATCCTGAGGCCTTTTCTTCTTTCTAAACCAGTGATCAGTAGACAAGAGAGCGAGAATTTCAGTGACTTTAGCCATTTGTGTCCTTCTCATTCTCTGACACAGAGTCTTCTGCTGCTCCATCAAAATGTCCACTCCTCCCTGGGAAAATACACACACCCCACATCACATGGACCAGGGCCCATTTCTGAGCAGGTATGAACTTCTGCATATCCTATAGTCCATCTTCAGTTCTTGCATACAAAACTTTTCTCTTTCATCTATTCTTGGGGTCCAAGAGAGAGAGTGTACTGAGGTCCCCATTTCTGGGGAAGAGAGTGAGGCAACATCTTCCTCCCCACTGTGGATGCACTGAAACACCAAGAATGAATATGGCCCATGAATTCTTAATAAATAGTAGTGTGTGTGTGTGTGTGTGTATATGTGTAATATTGGGATCTTTTAATGTGTGGCTCCCAGGAAAGGATCAATTTTCCTGGGCCTAATGTTGTCATGGATCCTGAGGTATTTGGATAAGAGGGTTGGAAATGTGTTACTTCAAGTTTGGGGAGTCACGTATTTTGACCCCTTCTCCAAAAAAATATATTAAATATTATATCTTACAACTGCATTGATTAGAGATGAATATACCTCACACTAGTTCTTTGGTATATATTCATTATTATCATAGTGACTTTTGCTTAATATTTTTAAAGAAATTGTAACATTTTTGTGGAACTTTAAAGGTATCGTGTATCTAATTCCATATACGGGTTACGCCTGGTGGAAGAGCCAGTCCTGGTGTGTGGTAAATTGTCCTGAGAAAGAGTCAGGGGTCTTCCTGCATGAGAGGACAGCCTAGGAAGGAAGAGGGACCTGCTGAGATGTGAGCAGAAGGGGTGGTACTAACTTATCCCTGGTGACAGGATGTGGGCACTGATAATGTAATGCTCTGATTCGATGACAACTCACTTGCTTTGCTTTATTCCTACAGAACACACACATTTCCCTCAAATTTCATTGCTGTGTAGATTAGTGTGGGAATGAGAAAATGGACGACATTGCCACTTGAAGGGACGGGACTAGGGGACATCACACAACTTAAGGGGGCACCAAAAATATAAGTAATTAGGGTACATAACATTTTAATGAAATATATTTTTTGTCTTCATATAGTTTCTTTTTACTTTTTATTAAGATTATGATAGTTTACAACCTTGTGAAATTTCAGTTGTACATTATTGTTAGTTGTGTTGTAGGTGCACCACTTCACCCTTTGTGCCCTCCCCTCACCTCCCCTTTCCCCTGGTAGCCACTAATCTGTTCTCTTTGTCTACATGTTTAACTTCCACACAGGAGTCGGGTCATACAGAGATTGTCTTTCTCTATCTGGCTTATTTCACTTAACATAATACCTTCAAGGTCCATCCATGTTGTTGTGAATGGGACGATTTTGTCTTTTTTTATGGCTGAGTAGTATTCCATTGTATATATATACCATATCTTCTTTATACAATCATCAGTTGATGGGCATTTAGGTTGGTTCCATGTCTTGGCTATTGTAAATAATTCTGTGATGAACATAGGGGTACATGGGACTTTTGGAATTGCTTATTTCAGGTTCTTTGGATAGATACCCAGTAGTTGGATGGCTGGGTCATAGGGTATTTCTACTTTTAACTTTTTGAGAAATCTCCATACTGTTTTCCATAGTGGCTGCACGAGTTTGCATTCCCACCAAGAATGTATGAAGGTTCCTTTTTCTCCACAACCTCTCCAACATTTGTCACTTTTTGTTTTGGTTATTTTTGCCATTCTAACAGGTATAAGGTGATATCTTAGTGTGGTTTTGATTTGCATTTCCCTGATGATTAGTGATGGCGAGCATCTTTTCATGTGTCTATTGGCCATCCGTATGTCTTCTTTGGAGAAATGTCTGTTCCTGTCCCCTGCCCAATTTTTGATCGGGTTGTTTGATTTTTTGTTGTTGAGCTGTGTGAGTTCTTTATATATTATGGAGATTAACCCTTTGTCGGATAAATAACTTGTAAATAATTTTCCCAACTAGTGGGGTTTTTTTTTGTTTCAATCCTGTTTTCATTTGCCTTGAAGAAGCTCTTTAGTCTGATGAAGTCCCATTTGTTTATTCTTTCTATTGTTTCCCTCGTCTGAGGAGTTATGGTGTCCGAAAAGATCCTTTTGATACTGATGTCAAAGAGTGTACTGCCTATATTCTCTTCTAGAAGACTTATTGTTTCAGGTCTAATCTTTAGGTCTTAATGAAATATTTTTAAAAATAAAAATAATGTGATGTATAAATTTTAAAATCAATACAGTATTCACCCCTGCTTTGCATGAGTCACCTTCCTGGCTGGCTCTGTTCCCACCCCTGCACACCTTGGTCAGGGACAGAGAGAGCCAAAGAGGACCCTCATTGTGCAGTGCAGGCCTCAGTGTGGAGATGAAGCCTGCAGTGCGTCAGGAACCTGATCACGCCCCAACCAGCAGAATCTCAGTGCCTGAGGATGTCAGAGAGAGTCCTGGGGGGGATGGGGTGATAAGGGGCAAAGTCACTTTTCCAGAGAGACAATCAAGCTTGGGCTCATTATGGGAAGGAACACAAGCTTTTCAGATTCTCCAATCCCTCACCTGGGAGATCTTAATGAATATGTGTGAGTGTGTGTGTCTGTGCATGGGCGCGCACACTCATATGTGATCTACGAGGGTCTCTAAAGCCTCCCTTTTAATCAGATAAGAAAAAAAGAACCTGTGTTTGCAGATACTTTATTGAAATGAAAATGCAAATGAGGTTTCAACAATTGTCTTGCAGTAGTAGATCACAAGCAAAAAAGGAAGTAAAATTGTGGTTTATAGCAGTTGACAGTTGGTTTCTGATCATTCTCTATAGTCCTCTCAGCCAAAGGTCTTGTGGAAAGTCAAAAGAGAGCACAATATAGGCTATTGTACATTGTTTCCTGGAAAAAAACACGGAGACGTCACTTAGATTTTCAATTCTCTCTTACAAAGTAAAATTCTGTAAAGCAACATTCCTTCTTATTGTTTTCCTGGGTTTGTTCACACACATCTGAAATCTAAGAAAGTTAGTGCTGGGAGTGTCACTAACTATGAAGAAGGGGATCTTTTTGCTGATCACTCCCAGAAATTAGTGGCTTCTTGAGAATCAGAGGTTTTTCACTTTGATAGAAAATTGTGTGTGTGTGCGTGTGTGCCTATGTGTGTGTGCATATATGTGTACTGGGGAGCTGAGAGTTGTGTAAGAGTTTTCCTGAGCGATATTTTACCTCTTTTGTCTTTTCTGTCTTTTGTCTTTTCCCTTTATCATTCGCTAAAGATCCCACAAAGTCAAGAGGAGAATCATCACTGGGGCCCTCATGTCTTTCTTGATGTCCAACTCATCAGACTCGCCAATAATGAAATTCGCTGAGATAAAATAAGGCATGTTCTCATTGATTTGGCATAATTAGTGACAAACTAGGAGCCTGCTTGTCCCTGTCCAGTGGTTTAGCAGTGCATAAGAATAAAACTGAAATTACCATCATCTTTCCAAAATTGCTCAGAGTTTCATTTGACTGGATGAGAAAACATTGTTTAAATTGTGCTGCGACCTCCCTAGCGGCATCATCCGATATGAACTCTTGAAGAGCTTCTACATATTCAGTCGTGGACAGTTCAGGATCAAGCGTCTTTTCAACCACATCCTCAAGAAGTTGGCAGCCAGACCCTGGATGAAAACATGAAAACATGGGCTCAATTATGGAAGTACAAACCACTTTTGCAGCATAACTATGATGTTTGTCATCTTCTTACATTCCAGCAAAGACATACATTCAGAAAGATTATGGGGAATGGTCTTAAGTTGTTAATCCAAGAGACTAAAGTCAGCATCTTGGATTTCCTTTAAGCCCTAAAACATCTGCCCTCCACCACCTTCCTGCCTCCATAACCCAGAGAAGCCCAACATTTTGTAACCATGATTAAGGAGGATGCTCAAGAAATCAGTCGCTCTGATTTAGTGAAACAGATTAAGCATTATCTGGTCTTTCTTTGTTCAGACTCATGTGATGCATTACTATGATTATTCAGAGCATCAGTTCCCAGTGTTGTAGATGTATTGGGTTAAGGATACTGTCCATTAGCCCTATTGACATTACTTTTGGCAACAAAAAATAACGCATGAATAAATTCTTGTTCATAAAGTGATCTGTTCTCGCCACTTGAGTTGTGTAGGGAAAGGGGCTCTGGAATTGGATTAACAATAGCCAGATTTTCATCCTTCGCTCTGGAATTTTCTATTGAGTTGAACTTGAGCATATCACCTTTTTTCCCCTCAATTATTTTATTTAACTCATAAAGGTTTATAGTCTTGCATAATTTTTGGTGTACATTATTATTTATCAGTTTCTGTATAGACTGTCTCATACTAAGCATTAATAGTCTAATTTTTATCCATCACCATACATATGTGCACCCCTACCCCCTTTGCCCACCCCCAACATCCTTCCCATCTGGTAACCACTAATCTGTTCTCTTTATCCATGTGTTTGTTCATCAGTCACAGAGCATATGACCTTTAACACATCTGTGCGTAATTCAGGAACAAATGAGGTGGGATGTTAAAGGAGCTTGGCAAGTTGAACAACGCACACTACGTGGCTGACCTATTATTGAAGATCAGATTCCGGGTCTCAGGGCATTTTCCTCCTTCTGGGTCTTCATTGCTGATAGGAGACCTCCAGAGGGTGTGAGTTCTCCCCAGTCAGAGTTGATCATGAGGAGACTGGGAGCTAAGGGGCATCCTGGTAGGTTCAAATCCACTCTACAAATGTGTGAAGAGTGGACCCCCAATTGGAGTAGGACACTGGGTTACACATATAGCCTGAGCCTTTCCTACAGGGAGGTTTCCCATTTCCACATTGAAGGAAACTCCATGAATGCCTCATTCAAGAAACCTCATGTGTGCCTCTTTCAGGAAACCAGCTAGAGCCAATGTTGGGGGGCCATGAAATCATATCTTTCCCTTCTCCCACTGAAATATCTAATTCTAATATTCAAACCCAAGACTCATCCTGGTTTTCACGGTACCTGTGATGATGGTGACATGCCCCAAATAGCATGACGTGCTACATGCAGCTCCATGGCAGAGGCAAAGCCCGTGAGGAAACTACCTTAGTTTTCTTGAATTAATGATAATCCTTTGGCCTAGTACAAGCAGACACATTATTTTGAGGATGTTTTGTACTGGGGTTTGGGGACCAGGAATTCTTCCACAGGGAAGCTGACAACAACTTTTAGCCCAAGGCCTGCCCTCCTTGCTGTACTCACCTGCATAGCAGTAAAGTGGGAGGGCCACCAGCATGAGGACCGTCACCAGCTTCATGATGGAAGCAGCTGTTGTTGGCTGGTCTCTGATGTGGCAGGGATGAAGGGAATCACTCTGGTGGGGAGCACCCAGAACTCCTCCTTTTATTCTCCTGGTCACCACTTTAATCCCTCCCATAAATGAGGAAATGTGTCAGATGATAAACTTGGCATTGGGCCTGGAAACGACAGTGAGAATCAACCAGAACCCAGCCAGCCTGTGCTTTCTGTAGAAACCAAGGTGGTGGCGCTTTCTAGACCCCAAACAACTTGAGAAGTGCAATAACAATACAAAACTTTAGGTAAAATTAATGTAAAAGTCGTTTCTAAATAAAAAAGCAAATTACACCATTGTGACCCTGTGTTGTCATCCGGGTGTTTTTAATTATTATTGTGCTCATCATTCTCTCCTTCTCCTCCTCCTCTTCTTCTTCCACTACCTTCTCTTGCATTTCTCCTTCTTCTTCAAGGCACAAAAAGCCTCATATCCTGTGAGTTTGTTCCTGCCGGTTTACCAAACACCTGGGCTTGATGCAATACCACATACCTCCTCCAGGAGGCAGACTTCCCTCGTCCACAGACACTTTTTCACTCAGGTGTTTGAAGTTTGGCAAACGTCTCACCTCTCTGAAGGCTGTTTTTACGAAGAATATCTCACTTAGTTAATTTCTTACATTCATCGACTGTAAATCAATGATTTAATTTTCTTTTAATTTTTGTTAGCTTTTTAAGGTTTTTCTTCCACTGATTCACAGGATGATGTAATGATGTGAAGAAGTAGAATAACTGATTGCTTAGGGGAGGCAGTGCTGAATGGTGGAGGGTGATGAGATCTGGGCTCATGCAGGTGTAGGGTTGAATCTTGGATGCAACACCTAATCATGAAGTGTCCTTGGGCAAGTTAAAGCAGTGGTCACTCCAAGCTTCCTTTTCCTCATTTCTAAAATGGCCACAAATGATACCATGCCTGTTTTTATACGGAAGACAGACTCTCTATATAAAGAGCCATCACAGGACTTAAATCATGGTAATCATGAACAAATGGGAGGTTTCATCCATGCATCCATCCACCCATCCATTGTTCAACAATAACCATGAGCTTCTCCTATGACGGGGCCCTGTGCTCTGTGCCACAGATTCAGTAGTAGGAACACATCGTAGGAGGACCTTGCTCTGGGGAGCTCACCTCTTACCTGTGAGGCAACAAACAAACCTGCAACTGAATGAGTGATATTGGACGGTGACTGTGTAAAGAACAACAACGCAGCCCCTAGGGGCAGCGTCCTGCACAGACGTCCAGGCAAAGCTATAGGAGGAGGGACTTTTAAGGTTGGATAAGTGGACGATGATATCCAGGGGAAGATATGGAGAAGAGTGTTCTAGGCAGAGGGAACAGCAAGTACAGAGGGCTGAGAGCAGATGGTACTTGGCAAGGTAGGAACTTGTTCTTCCTGGTGTCAAGAGAGGGACAAGACAGCCTCATGGGATGGAAAAGCCACATCAGTTTTAGCAGGGATGATATGAAGGTGATAGGAAGTAGAGAAACAAAGTTGATTTATGTTAAAAAAAAAAAAAAGAAATGAAGGAGAGAGCCAGAAAAATGAGTCAATAGTTTATCTGTGAATGCATTATTTGCTGTCAGGATTATTTGTGACTCTTTGTTTCCATCCTTCACTGGAGCATAACTTGCCAAGAACAAAACTGATTTAGAAGGATTCTAGAAATACAGACGGTTATGTTCTCAAGTGTGTAATTTCACACAGTTGACATTCGCTGGCGATTTTCATTCCAAAGGGAAGTGAAGGTTAACAACGAAATAGAATAATGTTTTTGTCATCAGGACTTAGTGGGGACTCTGCCTAGAGCCCTACTTGTTATGGACCTGCCCTGTCACCTGCTGGGTCTCCAGACCCTTCAGAGGTGTCTTACTCAGCAAAAAATAAAGTCCCACCCACACGATGCACACGGTTCCTACAATGAAGAAGTTGTGCTGTCTTTGCCTCCGTGTTTTCTCTCTCCAACTGATAATGATCATTCTCTGGTGATCAAAAACAGTAACATGACCCACAAAGACTCTTTTCAAGCCAGCATTTACAGTGAGAAATAGGAGAAACCAAAAAATCAGAATAGTGGTGCTGCTCTTCTGACTTTTTGCTCTTCCCAAAAGGAGCTTTGATCAGGTCCCCATGTTAAGGTCAGAAACTAGGGGAGTGAAATGGACTTCAGTGTCAGTGTTGGTGTGATATTTGTCGATCACCTCCTATGACAAACCATGGTGCAAAATTAAATGATTCAGATTCTACCTGGAATGAGCTAGTGTCTTCAGGGAGATTTACAGTATGTGGTGAGAGGGAATTATATTTGGCCTGTCCTCCGGCTCATAGACTCTTTGAGATATACTTACACTAATGTTTTGGTCATTTGAGGCCTTGCCATACTTAATAAAAGTAATAACATTCAGTGAGAGTGACTCAGTGACTCAGGTATTGGCACAAAAGCCTGCAAAAGAGTTATTTTGAAATGGAGAGGATCTTAATTGCTTAAATGTTAAGTTAGTCATATCAGCCCCACAGTTTTTGGAGTACGAGATACCGCATGTTTCTTTTTTTCTCATTCATTCTGTAAAACTGGTTCTGCCCTCACCTCCAGGTCTGTTGGGACATTAACCTCAGACATGTTCTTTGGAGGTAAGCCTCTTCTTCCTTAAGATCCTGCTGAAGTCTGGAAGTCTGGTGGAGAGGTAGTTACTCAGGACAAAAACGTTAGGAAAGGCCCTGGTCTTGGGGACATCTTTCTTTTTTTCCCAATATTTTACTGAAATCATAAAGGTTTAAACGTTGTATAATTTTGAGTCTACATTATTATCTATCAATTCTTGTATAGCCTACATCAAGCTCACCACCAGTACTCTAATTTTTATCCATCACCGTACGTGTGCCCCTTTTCCCCTTTTGCCCACCCTTCAGCCCCCTTCTCCTCTTATAACCACTAATCTGTTCTCTTTGTCCATATGTTTATTTTCCACATATGAGTGAAATCATGCAGTATTAGTCTGTTTCCATCTGGCTTATTTTGCTTAACATCATACCCTCAAGTTCCTTCCATGTTGTTGCAAATGGGATGATTTTGTCTTTTTTTCATGGCTGAGTAGTGTTCCATTGTCTATATATATACCACATCTTCTTTTCCAATCATCTGCAGCAGGGCACTTGGATTCCTTCCAGGTCTGGACTATTGTGAATTATGCTGCAATGAACATAGGGGTGCATAAATCTCTTTGGATTGTTGATTTCAAGATCTTTTGGATAGCTGTATTGTATGGTATTTCTATTTTTAATTTTTTGAGAAATCTCCATACTGTTTTCCATAGCGGTTGTGCCATTTTACATTCCCACCAGCAGTGTATGAGGGTTCCCTTCTCTCCACATCCTCTCCAATGTTTGTCACTTTCTGTCTTGATAATTGAAGCCATCCTGACAGGAATAAGTTGATATACAATTATAATTTTGATTTGCGTTATCTCAATAATTAGTGACGTTGAACATCTTTTCATGTGTCTGTTGGCCATCTGTAAATCTTCCTTGGAGGAATGTCTGTTCATATCTTCTGCCCAATTTTTGATCTGTTTTTTTTTTGTTGTGTTAAGTTGTATGAGTTCTTTATATATTTTGGAAATTAACCTCTTATTGGATAAACGATTTGCAAATATCTTCTCCAGGTTGGTAGGTTGTCTTTTCATTTTGTTGATGGTTTCCTTTGCTGTGCAGAAGCTTTTCAGTCTTCTGTAGTTCCATTTGTTAATTTTTTCTTTTCTTTCTCTTGCCTGAGTAGACCGTATTCAAAAAATGTTGATAAGCCGAATGTCAAATAGTGTACTGCTTATATTCTCTTCTAGTAGTTTTACAATTTCAGGTCTTGCATTCAAGTCTTTAACACATTTTGTGTTCATTTTTGCATATGGTGTTAGATACAAAGCTTTGAGCAAGGAGATAAATACACAGGCAAAGTAAGAAAACTTTAACTCTCTTTCAGAGCAGAGTAGCAAATACTTAGTTATAATTTAAAAGATAAAGGGAAGGGAAGCATCGAAAGTAACTATAAACACTTCAACTTAGTCGCAAAATCACAACACAGAATAGAATAACTTGTGACCACAATAACTCAGAAGGGAAAGAGGAGTGGGTTGGAACCTGCTCAGGCTAATGGAGATAAGAGGCTCTCAGAAAATGGACTAGGACTATCTCATGTACGAGATCATTTATACAAACCTCATGGTAACCACTAAACAAAAAATCAGAGCAGAGCTGAAATCCATGAAAAAAGAGAAAACTGAGTAAACCTCCACAGGAAACCACCAAAATGAAATTGCAGTCAGAAATACAAAGGAAGAGAAACAGTGGAAATATAGAACAACCAGAAAACAAGAGATAAAAAGGAAGTATTAAGCCCTCATATATCAATAATCACTCTAAATGAAATGGATTGAGTTTTCCAATCAGAAGACACAGAGTTGCTGGATGGATTAGAAAGACCCAAGAATATGCTGCCTCCAGGAAACACATGTAAACTCTAAAGACATAGTATTAGAGTGAAGGGATGGAGGAGGATACTGCAAGCAAATGGCAAGCAAAAGAAAGCAGGTGCTGCCACACTTATACCAGACAAAGCAGACTTCAAGGTAAAAAAGACAATGAGAGACAAGGAGGGACAGTATATAACAACAAAAGGGACATTTCACCAAGAGGACATGGCGCTTATGAATATATATGCACCTAAAACTGGAGCACCAAAGTATATAAAGCAACTAGTAACAGACCTAAGGAGAAAAATTAACTCCCAAACTATAATAGTTGGGGACATCAACATTGCGTTTACATCAGTGGACAGATCATCCAGACAGAAAGTAAACAAGGAAATAGTGGATTTAAATGAAACACTTGATCCGGTGGACTTAATAGATATGTAGAGGGCATTCCATCCAAATACAGCAGAGGACATCTTGGTCGTCACTGAGATGTTTGTTGTATACGGTGTCCAGGCCATTCCTGGACTATGTGCCTTGTTTGCCTTGGACCCAGCCTGGGTGGAGATTTCACAGCCATGTCTCCTTGTACAGTGGGAACAGTCCTATGATTATCATGAGGCTTGAATAAGCTATAACGTGTAACTCCTCAGAACAGGGCTGGGTACAGAACAGGTGCTGTCCACATGTCAACTACCAGAGCTTAATTTTATAAAAATGAGAAAGGAGTTATGATAAACTTAGAAAGATGACTAGGACCATTATAAACAAGTGAAGTCTCTGCTTCTACTTTACATTTTCTAAAAGATCTAGAGATAATCATGTTCAGACCTGAGGCCAAAGTCCTAAGTTGAAAATAAAGCACTGTATTTGATCCAGGCTTACTTGATATTTTCCTGACTCCTTCTTAAAAGAGTTTTATTGAGATATAATTTACATACCACTTCTTCTCAAACACAGTCTTCATTCTGTTGGCCCAGTCATCTTCTCAATACTCAGCACCAATTCATGTTTTCAAAATTCAATAAAACACGAATGGCAAACAATTACATAACACTTGCTTGATGCAGGGCCCTGGTGAAATCCTCTTTTAATCTTCACATCTACAATCTAATGAGCAGAGTGATGATGAAACTTACGGGCTAAACTGGAGTACTTTGGAGAGTTAAAGAGGTCATTAAATGGATGGAATGCCAGGACAGCAACATATACCAGGAATCTCCTGAGCAAACTGACATGTGTGGTCACCCTCCCTATGAGGTGGGCATATCATTTCTCCCCAGCTGCTCAAAATGACACAAGAGAGGTCAAATAACTTTATCAAGGGCACACAGGTAGTGGATGGCAGAGCCTAGGGAAGGATCCAGGAGTTCTGATTTGAGAGACAGCTCCCAACACTATTGATAATTTGAGTTTGAGCATTATGGACCTTCACTTTGTGCCTCAGATGTGACCTTGATCTTGTGACCTTGACTCCCACAACTGCCCAAGTTGAATTCCAGGTGGATTTCTGTGCAGGCCCCACAGTTTCTACTTGAGGCCTTTGCTCCCTGTGAACTCCCCACCCCCTCTGTCCTCACGTCAGTCCCACTGAATTGAAACTCCTTATTCATTTTCAACCCCACAACAAAGACAGCCCACTTCCTGTGCCTTTTTCTTGGCCCTGAGTCTCTTGGGACTTCCTTTCCCAGAACTCCATTGTTCTTTGAGTGCAGATCTCTCCTGCCATCCCAGGACCTGATCCTACGGCCCCTCCCTCCCTGTTCAGGCTCCTTGAGGGCACAGTCTCTGCAACTCTGGTCTTTGTGTGACAATAGCCAACATGTGGCTACCTAATTAATTGTTGTCTGACTATCTGCAGGACAGATGTTGAATTTTTACAAAGAAATCTATAATTATATTACGTTTTATTATTCCCTCTATTTAGAGAGAGAAGCTCATTTGGAATCTTTAGTAAAGTAAGTGATCAAAGCAACACTAAAACCAGGCATCAGCATGACATCCTGGTGCTAACACCAGTT